TCAGTCACAATTTTGATAGTGATTATGTGGGAAAATAGTGCAACATGTGATGTATCTGCTACAATAAAGTTTTATCATGAAGCAGTGTTTTCATCCTTTCTAGATGCACATTGTATGTGAAGGTGTGAGAATATGTAGAATTATCTGTTACCAATTGTTCTATATAATTCAATGATGTTTCTCAGTCTGACAGAACTCACATTTATGATTTACTATAATCGTATTACTGTATAGCATTGTCTGAGGTTCTTAAGATTTGCAATGCAAAAATCGCCCAATTAATTGTAAATGCCAGCCTCCATATCACTAAGTTATCACCCAGCCTCGATTGAAATAATATTCGTAGCGCCCTTATCGGCGTCTGACAAGAGAACGATCATTCAAGCAGAACACCGTCTTCCAATGCCGCTTTTACATTTTCTGCTTATCATGTCCCGGGGACATGCTGCGCAAAAGAACGGCGATCTGACATCAAGCACGGGATCCTATATTACTTGTTGATCGGTTGTTCTAACAACGCGTATTTTTTGGCTTTGAACGTTTTGTATGCATACATCCCCGTCGTAACTATAACTTGATGCCGATTTTCCTGTACAAAATCCAGTGGGGTTGTCTGGTTTATAACAATACAGTAGAACTTCGTTTATCTGAACTCCCCAAATCCGAAATTTTGAGGAGGAAAAATAAACAAAATAAAGAAAATACTTATTTGTAGTGTGAAGAATGGATTTCATAATTACTGCAGAACTGAACAACTACTCATTGAAACAAAAGTTGTAGAAATGAAACGTTTTTTGCACTTTGTTAACTATAGCAAATATCACGTGTTTATGTAGCAGTAATTTTCACTTAGAGGAACTTACATAATGTTCTTTTGCCGTAAGGAACTGAATGTGCTTGATGATGCGATGTGATGATACCATTTTCTCCGATCGTATGCTACGTTGCATTGTCTGCTGATCCTACATATATATACACACATTTTTTCGGATAATCGAACATTTCCGAACACCCTAATTAGTTCGGATTTCCGAGGTTCTACTGTATATATTAACTAACACTCACCTGTAAAGTGGTAATCCTAGTTAAATAGTAAAAATAAATAAAGACAGTATGTAAAAATAAGAAAATTACAAAAATGTAAGAACTTATTCATATTCTAATTTTCGGTTAGGTAATACGTTCTTGTTTCCAATTAAATGACCAAATGAACATTCTTTCATTTCACAAAAGAAATATTTCGTCCTCTGTTTCTTCTCTACTAATCCATTTAAAAATTCTTTCCTAATTCGACCAGAAATCGTTCCAATTCCCGCAAACTAATTTGGATTTATTAGTCCGTCGTCGTCGCCAACATTAGTATTAGCCTGTAAACATATTAAGAAGAGACCTCCCAATTAATTTTGTTGTCTTGTTTCGTAATATCACTGCGTGCCAGTGACAGGCTGTCACTACAGTGCTAGAGATACTCGAGGAAAATAATTTTTCTTGGGGACAAATGGAAAATATTTTGAGCAGGAAATGCTTAAATGTTCTTTTCAGGCATATCACCGAAAATAAAGAACCTTTTGAGTATACCAGATCCATGATACTGTAACAAGTTTCCTTGTTACAGTATCATGGATCTGGTATACTCCAACGGTTCTTTTTTCGTGATGGACTTCAACCTCTTTTAAATGTTATGACTGCACAGTATAGGACGAACTTCCTTCCGAAAGAATGAGTGATCTCATTGTTTTTTTGTAAAATATATATTTTACAGTGTAAATTACATTAACATACATACTTATGTGTATTATAAATTAAGAGATAAAATCACCAATTTCAACATTTCATTTTATGAAAATTTGTACATTGGTTACAAACAATTTTTTGACTCTGATGTTTTATTATTCATTGTGTACAGTTCATGAATTTGAATGAATAATAATAGTCTTTAAGTAATTTATTGACGTTCATTTACCTCGAAGTTCTTTATTTTTGATCAACACCAAGCACAAAAATAATTAAATGGAACTATTAATTTATCTATATAGATTCAGCAGTAGTTACGACTCACTCTAGAAAATTATATTTAGCCGTTAAAGCGCTGGAGAACCTTAGGGATCATTCTTCTTTCAGAATTTCTTTGAAAAAATCAATATTAATATTCAAGACGAAAAGCAAAATAGCAAACGCGTGATAGATAATTGCCTCAAGATTTATTTCCCCAAGAATGAAATTAACATTTTGATTAACTACATTGTACCTGTTAGTAATGAAATTATGTTCATGTGTAGAGAGTGATTTCATATTTATACATGAAGCAAGATTAATCGTAAAACCACCTCCCCTTATTTGAATATCTATTCTTAAGGACAGCAACAGGTGGCCTGAGACATTTTAATGGTCCGCAAAGAAATTGAGATATTTAAGGTCGTTTAGCTGATTGCATAAAATATTTTTTTCAATTTTTTATTACATAAAATAGATTAAAAGTATTGTATTTTGTATTTATTTGGTAAACAATACTACTGTGACTTGCAAAACATTAAACCTTCCCTAATCTCAAAGACGGTGTACGTGGCTGGTTTACGCAGATGTGTTACACTTGGAAGTATAACGTTTATTTCTTTTATTTATTTATTTATTTGCCTAAAGTCTCCGCTCAATGTTGCCCGATCGTATCATAATCAAGAAATGTACCATACATTTAAGGTCATTCCACCACGAACTAGTAGCATATTTTTTCTAGGAATTTAAATAGAAGCTATTACGTAATAAAATCAATGCAAAGATTTATTTACAATAAAATTAATTAACATAAATTTAATATTTAACTTCGAACAATGGAAAATACCTTAATACTGTCTTTTAACAAATACGTCAGTAGTCCGCAGAATAGTAGATTACTAATTTAGTAGCCCGTATTATCTAAATGGTTGTCAATCACTGATCATGTCCTCCCCTGAATTCACGGGACGTCCAGCAGAACCCAAAGCCCTGAGAGAAAGATCTTCATGGCAGATCCAGCATTTTAGTCGTATTACATAGTCCATGACGGGGGATAAATAGGAATTAAAACAGGTCTGGCTGCAACTCAGCCGAACAGTTGACTGTTTGCTCAGCGTGAAGTATCGTACACGACATGAAAAACTCCCTACATTCCGTTTTAAACAGAGTGGCACTTCAAAGTCACAAGCTGGACAGAGAAGGGGACACTATCATCCAATCGGGACCTTTGATACGACTTAAATGTTTTGTATTGGTGTTCCCGATTGGATGACAATATTCCAGCTTATGATCTTGAAGTGCCAAACTCTCTAAATCGGAGTACATACTCCGATTTAAACATAGTGGCAGTTCAAGCTTACGAGCTGGAAGGAGAGAAGGACATTGTCATCCAATCGGAAGCTCCAATACCAAAAATTGATGTCGTAGCGAATATCCCGATTATATCATACCAAATACTATGTAGACAATACAGAACATTTTGAATCTTACTTACAATTTAATGGGAGACAATTGCTCACTAGCGAACCTAGCGACGTGACCTGGAAAATCGGCGACTAATTCAAATTTCATTTCATGTACAATAACTTTCGAATTACTCTGCGAAACAAAAGTAAACATAATCGCAAGTAAACTAAAAATATTTCAAACTTATACACTTAGTACTTGATATCACAGTGGTTACGAAAGGTCGGGCCACTGAGATCGCGAGCTTCACGTGTCTCCCGTTACATCGCCGATTGTCATGTAATTGTCTCTATAGTATTTGGTGATACCAACGAGCTAGAATGTGCTACATAGAGTGGCTGAAGCGTGTCTATCTTTGAAGCAAATTGAAGCCATGTTTTTTACAGACAAATCACCGTCCTCTGGGAAACAAATAATTCTACGTTTGGCGCTGGTTACCAACGGGTGGGCGCGGGCCGCGCGTAATATTAATCCTCTTATTGTGTGTTCTCACGATAAAAAACCAATCATTTGAAAACAGAATGATAATATGTTAGGAGAACGAATTGAGAAACTTTAAATACATGTCACTTCCTGCATCGATTATTGTCATAAGAATGGAAGCTATTGAAATGTTATTGCAGGTAGCATAAAGCCTGGAAATGAATGTTATTGCAACACCGTTAAACGAAAACTAATAAAGAAAAAAGTTGTGATACGAACAACAGCACGAAGTCGATTCAGTATACCAGTTGAATACACCGCCACTCGTATGTCTTGACTTCAAAAAAACATGGTGGTCACTAGTTCGGCGAACCTCCACCAAGAGCGCTTAAACTATAGGGACAGCTACTCTATGTAGTATAGGTCTAGGTCGTTTAGTGATACTCACCCCCTCTCCGTTCCGCTCCTAACCTGACTACGACGTGACGTGACATACTAGTAATGGAGGATTACTCCTAATTAGTGCACTAAATTAACGGAGGATTACTCCAAGCGCAAAGCGCTCAACGCCCCCCACCAAATGTCAATGTAGACGCAACAAATAAAAAAAAAAACTTGAAGTGCCACTAAATGAGGGTGGCAGCGCAATAGTGGCATATCCCACATTTTTAGGAAATTGCGTTCTGTGTTAATCACATATAATCTCCCTAACTTTAACGTGTAACAGTTTCAGCATGTTCGCGTCGATAGTTTTCAAGTTATAATTACAAAAAGAACTATTGCACTCAGCTTACGATTACATTTCTTTGTGCAATAGTGGCCTAAGCATAGGCGATGCTGTTTTACACAAGATGTAATCCACCACAAGTGTTTAGTCAGTGGTCATTCTTACATAATATCATAATATGAAAACACTTACAAAGGAGTGTTTAATTTTGTCGATAACTTCATCAGCCATTTCCTCCAAACACAAGATCTGGAGATAGGCCACTATTGCGCTGACACCCTCATATGTAAATCGGAGCATAACCGAGCGCAGGGCGCTACGCGGCGGCGGCGGGCGAGTCGGCGTGGGCGTGGGCGTGGGCGTGTGCGGCGGGGAGCGCGGGCAGCGGCACGCGCGTGGGCGCGGCCTGGGGCGCGGTGCGCAGCCAGGCGGCGATGTCGTCGCGGTGGCGCCCCACCCAGTCGATGTTGAAGCGCACCGCCTCGTGCGACTGCTGCAGCGTGCGCGTCGCCACCCGCAGCGAGTCTTCGTGCTCCGCCTGCAGGCGCTCCAGCTGACAAGCGAACGAGAAATGAATTAATAAATACAATTAACGAATAAATGAATCAGTATGTCTGTACTGGCTCAACAGCTCCTGATAGGACCAAGGCCTACCAGCAGCCTTAGGTTTAAGGGTCAATTAAAACATAAATAAATCAATGTCTGTCTGTCTATACTGACTCAACAGCTCCTGAAGGCACCAGCGGCCTTCAGGAGCAGTTGAGCCTACCAGCGGAGACCCGGTCTTCCGGCCTTAGGTTTAAGGGTCAATTAACACATAAATAAATCACTGTCTGTCTGTACTGACTCAACAGCTCCTGACGGGGTCAAGGCCTACCGGTGGCAACCCGGCCTTCCGGCCATAAGTTTAAGGGTTACGTGTGGTTAACACATAGACATCCCTACGCCGTATTCTGGTTTTCTCAACCTGAGACCATTTCCAGTCAGTGATCGGTTCTGTTAGACCAGAGGACCTAGTCCATTCCATGTGGAGCCACCGCCAGTTTGGACAGTGTCGTCTTGATAACTGAATCCATGACATCATGGGGTCTGTGCCACACTCGAACCCTACCATTAGCTCTTACCAACTGAAATCGGGACTCATCTGACCAAGTTTTCGTCTAGGGTGCAATACGTCACAATGCACACAGGGTTGCTTGTCTGTTATCACTGACAACTCTACGCAAACGCCGCTGCTCTCAGTCATTAAGTGAAAGCCGTCGGCTATTGCGTTGTCCGAGGTTAGAGGTACTGCCCTAAATGAGGTATTTTTGGCACACTCCTGGCACTGGGAATCTCGGTATATTGAATTTCTTGACGATTTCCAGAATGGAATGTACTATGCGTCTATCTTCAACTATCCCGTGTTCGAAGTATGTTAATTCCCATCGTGCGGCCATAATCACATCCGAAACATTTCGTACAGAAACACTTGAGTAGAAATGAAACCTCTGGCAATGCAAAGCCTTTTTATTCCCTTTGTACGCGATTCTACTGTATCTGAATATTTGTATATTATGCTATCCCATGCCTTCTGTTAATTCAAGTGTATTTTAAAAGCTGAAGATTCTTCGACAGAGATATTCAGAAATATTTGAAAATAAATCTTCCTTTTAGAAAAATGTATTTATTGTAATGTCTTAGAATTGCTTTTAATATCATTATAGTTGGCATTGTCTCAATGACCTCATGTCATTTAAGTTTTTTATTTCAATTTCTCTTCCCTCACAAAGCAAAATGTTTAGAGGATTACCTGCTTTTTTGTGAACAATAAATATACGTTTCTTCACTTCCGAGTGTCACATAATGTGTTTTATATCAAACACAATATAAGAAATAATAAAACATTAATAACATTTTCTTAATTTTAAGTTTAAATGTTAAGTTCATGGTATTTAGTACATGTTTGTTATTTTAAGTGCATCATTAAAAAGTAGGTGTAATAAAGGCGATTATCAATTTATTTATTTCGAGTTCGCATTCTCATTGCGAGGTCAAACAGCCATGCAGGATATGTGGTCGAGGGATCATGAGTCATGACATGTTTTCACATTAGTACACATCCTTCTGTGTTTGTGACAGATATTACGTGACAAAAATTTCAGAAATATCGGTTACCAGACATTATCGAAATCGCCAAATTGCCAGAAATCTTATTCGCGTTTCGTTGATTAAAATTAATATATATCTTTCATCTAGATTGAACCCGATTGTATGCGATTGATGCCATCATGAATAAATACATTGTCAATATTTTTAGAGTACACCATACTAAATGAAAACAAAATAAATTATTTCATTCTGAGTGTAGTCAGCTTGAGTGTCTATTCTGAGTTTGCTATATAAATTCAGACCACTTCAATAAGTATAAAGATATCAGTGAATCTTATACTTTTATAAAACGTCGTAATAGTTATAGAAATTATAAACAGAAACTGTAGCTAATAGGAAAGGATTTTTTTAAATGTAAAGTCTATTTATCAGTAGTGTAACGAAATGAGTGTGGGCTCTCTCGCAAAAGTTTTATCCGGGTCCCCTTTATAAAATTGTATACCAAACACAAGTGCTGTTAGTACCTTAAATAATTGAAATATCACCTAAAAATAGTCCCTCTTTTACCTGGGCCCGATCATATTGCGGATCCGAACGTCATACCACTGCTATTTATATCATGTATCATTTAAACATGAAGTACACGAACTAATGGCGTTTCGGATATACGAATAAAGACCTATGAACAATGATACACGTTTGTACATGATTTTACGTCTTCTTATGTATAAAGGGAGTTTCCTCATTATTTTCGCAAGCATGTGAATGCTTTCTGTAAAGTCGGATTTGCTCACATATTGAAGAGGCTTGTGTGTTGTGCGATAAACCGTAACTGGAAACAATCGTAATACGCAGTCAAGTGGGAAATTGAAATTGAATTTAATATTTTCTAGTCAGCACTTTCTGGGAGTTAAGATCAAATTGAAAAACGTTTTTCAATACTCCATTACTGGGTATCCCCTTTCATTATGTATTTAAAGATAAATTCATAAATATAATCGGTTAGTTTCTATTTCCCAATTCCTAGTGATCTGACATATTTGAAAACATAATGAATATGATTTATTTTTTAATATCTCAGTTACTTCTCTTCCCATTTCCAATTAAGTTTCTAAACGTATTCTTGGATCAAAAGAATCGTTAAGTTCACTCTAGTTATTCTATAGGAGGAATTTGCAGGCATTGCTGAATGTAAACGCGAGACCTAAAGTAAATACTGAGTGAATAACGAGTATATACACCATGGTTAAAATATACCCACTTATTCACTTAATATTTAATTTAACATCCTGGATCATTGAAAAATATTTAATGGAGCGTCTAAATAACAATATTGTTATTGTGAATGTCAGTGTGATTCAAGGGTTAAACATTCAGAGAATAAGATTTTAAAATAGTGGAAAGGTTTACTCTAATTGAGTGGCACCTCGTGCACTTTCACGTGCATCAAGAGAACGGATAAACACAGGACTAGTCTGTTTATTTCAGAAACCTGAGATACAATTTTCAGAAAACCGAATAAAAGACAAATTGTATGGCCAAAGCAACAAAATTAGATTTGTAATCTTTAACTTACGCATTTTAAGATTACTATTTTCTAAGTTAGTACGATACTTAACTTAGAAAATATATTTATTATTATTATTATTATTATTATTATTATTGTGTAATGAATGACGAAATTATCATTTTAGTAAAATATAGTTAAAAATACCTCTCGTAATTCTTCTGGAGTATTCATGCGGTAGGCCAACGCTTGAAGCAACTGAGGCAGGTGGAACGGGTTGGTACCGATACTGAAAAAAGGTTACTCTTTGAATGCAAAGTGGAAAAACAATGCTTAAATGTTTTAGTAATTACAAATATAAACAATTACGAAACTTAATACTTAACGAGAAAGTGAAACTGTGAATACATTAATATTAAAGAGGCATTCCTAGTTTTACTTTCTCAACCTTTTTTTGAAAACATTTGGCTAATACGAGTAAATGTTTCTCAAGGTTATTTATAATTAATCATTTCTTCTAAAACACGTTATAGCAAAGTCCTTGATAAATTATTTCATGAATTAAGTTCTATCATAAGTTATTATATTACTAGTTCTTTTGAGTTACGTTGATTAGTGACGAATTCATGACCTTTCAACCACTTTTTCAGCTGTAAATTGATATAACTCGTCTTCCACGTGAACAGTAAAGTTATTTTTGTACTTTTGTATTGTGAACCTCCTGAATTATAGCACTTAATGTAGTTCTATCATTTATATATCAATGCACACATTTCGTAGTTTTGCGTATTTTGCCATCTAATATCAGTATTCCTTAAAGAAAACTGACTATTGACTTTTCATCACTCGTATTTTCTTAGAAGCTGCTCTAATAAATTACAATAAAATAATTTAAATAATAAGGTAGCTTATGATTAAGTAACTTTACACTTGTTTTATTATTAAAAATGCACTTACTGTGATTGAATGCGGTCAATGTTATTCTTGAGAAACTCCTTGGCGATGTTGTGTCCTACAGGATTTTTGGCAACGGCTTCAAACACTGACGCACTATGCTGTTTACGGATTGCTGAATCTTTCTGTATTGACATTTGCAAAAATCTGGAACGAAAAAATTGTATTGAAACGAGAAACAAATCGTAGACAAATACAAACTTAAACTAAAACTAATACTACAAGGAACAAACTTTGAATCAACTTCCTGATAGTTATAAAAGGCTACAGAATACGACTAATAACGCAGAATGATTATTTTTAAATGGCAACTGAGATGAGTAAAAATTATAAATACACTGAACTATGATTATTTCAGGTGTTTTTGAAGTAAAGGAATAGGCTGGCCCTGTAGTTAAAATACTCCTTTAAGTAACTCCAAATTTAAAAAATGCACGGTGTTAAAGAATTTTATGATATTGTTTCTCATAACCTTCTTCCAAGGCTGCATTTCATAAATTTGAGACATAGATTTCTACTTTCACCATCTCTAGCATTCATGGAACTTTTCAGTTATCGTGAGAACACTTGTACATAAGAGAACTAAAATAACGTACGTAGTGAAAAAACGCATAAGCGTACATAAAGAGTTACTGAAAAAGTTTTTTGTATTAAATATATTAATCTTAAAAATCAACAATGACTATGCTGACGGAAAAATAACTATAAGTTGTCTGTGAGACACAACGTATGAACAGAGAAGAAACCTCGTTATGCTATTCATACGTCATCATTATCATGACCATATCTATCATTTTCACGTTTTTTCTTTTGAAATTACAAGGTTTCCAAATAAGAATTACATATTCTATACAACTTTCATATTTTTCCTACAATTTATAAAACATTATAACATTATTAAACGAGAACAATTATCCCTTTCACATTCTCTTCTTACATATTTTACTTAAATTCTATAATTTGTAAATATCCCGGCCAACATAAATCCTTCTCTCACATTTTATTTTTTATTATTTTTGTTATATACTTCATCGTCTCTGCTCACGAGTTAATATAATTGTTTATTTCATCCTTTAATTCACCTTACCCTTTTTCCTCGCTAATCTTTTTCCTTCAGTCTCTCCGTATCAAAATTACAGATGCTAGGTAGCAAATTGTTCACAAGTTCTTACTTTCCTACACATTCATCTTCCATCTCCATTACATATCTTTTCTCATACATTCCTACTGACATATTTTCTTCCTGATTGTTTTGATTGATCGATTCTTGGCGCGTAAACGGCTAAGGTTGTCCGTAAGTGTTGTTCATGTTTTAATCGCGGGAGGTGAAAGTGATCTTCCCCCACAGGATAGTGAGAACGGCGTCGTCAGCTTGCGGTGTTTCCCCAGCTAGGTATCTCCCACCTGCGGGGCACCGCCCTGAGATAAGCTTTAAGCTCCTGATCTTCCGGTACGTGTGGCAGTGTAGAGAATGTAAGAGTAAGTGCGTATAAGTAAGAGCGAGGACAGGACAAGGAAGGGGAAGAAAAGGTCGTGCGCGATACGTGGCCCGTTTTTTAAGGTACTGCTCCGGCATTCGCCAGGTGTTGTTCGGAGAAACTACCTATCGATCGGAGCAGCCGGCCGCTAAATTTCTCCCCCAGGCCGCGTCTGAATTCGACCTAGCTGCCTAGCTACTGCCGAAACTCCAACCCATCGCCGGGATTTGAACCCTAGGACCTCCCGGTCGGAGGCCCTGCGGCATCCTCCGGTCTGCGAGATCGCATGTGGCTGAGTGCGTTGGGGGGCGGCTGACCTGGAGAGGGTGGCGGGGTCGCGCGAGCAGCCCAGCGCCTGCAGCACGCCCGAGCGCTCGGCGCTGGACGTGGCGTTGGCGTAGCGCTCCCACAGGAACTGCCAGTCGGCGGCCGAGCCGTGCTCCACCGCCGTGCACAGCACCACCGACCGCATGTCCGCCGGGATCCTGCAAGCACACGCACGCACGCCTCGCTGGCACGCGCTCGCCCACGCAAACCAGTGCTTTGTAAACATTTTGTTTACGTTGTTCATACTCCTGCTGTGCCTATTTGTTACTCTTGTCGCCCAAGATTTCACAATAAAGTGTTACATGAAAAGTTAGTTTCAAAATAAGTTTCTGGATTCTCAATAGACATGTTTCTGAAATCCCTCAAGGAAATTAAATCGGCACGTTAATAGGGTTAATATTTTCTCTAAGAACAGCTATGAATGATTTAGCTGTCATAAATCATGTAGGTATTTTAAATAACAAGCAAATGAATTCACAATTATTCTTAATAATATTGCCTCATTCTCTAAAAGAATACCCATGTGAAAGGACGGATAATTACAATTGCATTACTAAAATTGTTGTTTGTATTCGGTAGCTAAGATTAGACTGAATAATATGTATATCCAAAATTTTCAACTGAGCTTTTTATTTCGTTAGTCAAAGTTATTTTCCGTAAGACTACAACGACGAGTGCCCGAAATTATTAGTATGTATAACAATGCTACAAATCAATAATACTTAAATACATTTCAAAATATGAAAAATATTAAATTTGATTAAAATTAACAACAATATGTTTTTTGGTAAAATTGCTTACTTTGTTATTATTTTTTGCTCGTGACTGGGACCACGTGTGCATGCACCCTGCATTTTACCGGGACTCAGTGACATTATCTCGGTGACACGTGCATGTAATTTTTATCAGTGGGATCATCATTTAGCTTGATCCGATTTTTATCCCATAAGGTTATTAGCCCTGGGGGTACGAATCATGAAATGATGATAATGAGGGGTGAAAGGACGACACACATTTACATCCATGATCGATGGGGGTCTCGAAACGCGATCTTCCGGTCCGAGAACGATATGGCGCTACTGCGTTAGCGATCTCGGCCATCTGAACGACATTTTAAAAAAATATTCTTCATGAAAGTGCATTGAGGGCTGAAAAGGTAATCGACCTAAATAAAAAAAGTTGCGGCGTGCCATTTTGGAAGTTTGAGTGGGTCAAGTGCAACTCACGTGTGTTCGTCGGGGAGCTTGCGCCAGCGGGCGAAGTGGGCGACGGAGGCGCGCACGCAGCGGGCGTCACCCAGCGCACACGCCCACCGCGCCAGCAGACGGCGCGCCAGGGCGTCGGGCGCCGGCTCGCCCGCGCGCGGCTCCAGGCCCAGCTCGGCGAAGCGCGGGCCCAGCAGCTGCAGCAGGAAGCGCTGCGCCCCGCAGGCGCGTTGCACGCACACGTACACAACACAGCACACAACACACGCACACATCACACGCACACATCACACGCACACAACAGACGCACGCAACACACGCACGCAACACTCGCACGCAACACAACACACGCACACAACACAACACAATACACGCACACAACACACGCACACAACACACGCACACAACACAACACACGCACACATACACACTGACACGCGCACACAACACACGCACACAACACACGCACGCAACACACGCACAATACACGTACACATAAACAAACACACTCACGCGCGCACAAACACACGTACACGCGCACTCTCACGCACGCACACTCGCGTGCATGCACACGCACACATACATACGCACACTCGCAAGAGAACGCAAAACCAGACGCGCGCACGTATACACACACACACATTCGCGCGTGATCACATCCAGACACACACATACAAACTCAGTGGAACGGACATCCTTTTGGTATCCTTTATCAATGTATTAAGTTGAATGCCTGTTTTACCTCTGATCCTCTACGGATCACTGCTCAGGCGATCGTTTACAATGCTCTCCCCACCATTTGAATGTCCTGGTGCGGCCCCCATAGTACCTTCCAGATTATCTCATTTCATAATCTGATATGGATCGGGAACCCCGATACACAGTGGGCTATTGATATATCTCACAAGCGTGGCACGCGGACCCTACTCACTTGTTCCGGTATAATAGTGGGGAAATACGATATCTCTTTCGCCAACTTTGGTCTGGAGGCCTTTACCGTAACCTTTACCGTACCGCTCTGAACGCTGGTGGCATCGGCCTGACAGTTACCGGAGGCGAGAGAGAGAGAGAGAGAGACTTCAAAAATTGTTCCGTTCACGTCAATGCGTACGTTACAAACACCATTCTCCAATGCCTTCTCGACCCGTAGGGGAGGATCTTGACTGTGTAGGCTGTCACGATCTCTGGTGGAGAGTTGTAGATGGCTACCCGCACCCTAAGTTTCACGGCGGCACTCAGGTCGTTAGCTTCAAGATGAAGGCTGTGAGTAGGTGATGCTATGATGGATATTTGTCTGGACTCTTTGGTGATCTGATAATAATGTTAGAAGCGTTGGAACCCCTTCGTCTTTTCCTCTGACACCCTACGTACCATTATCTCCCATAAGACCCAGCTAAGTTTATACTAACATTTAATATCGTTTTCTGTGCGGAAGTGGGCGTTTTCATACCTGTCAGTGGCGGAAGGATCTGTCACTATTAACAGATCAGTAGATGAGTAGCCCTTGAGAAGTGTGTCTTTCAAACATGGTTCATTCTTAGAATCCGATGACATTTTGAAAATAAATATATCAAGTACGTTGAAAAGGAAATCAAATTATATTTTCATGGCCCAAAACTAAGGATCCATGCTTTAATTTGTTTAATATTAAATCACAATGTGTTTTGTTATCGTACTAGAATCGTTCTTTTGCATAATTACATCCTTTACAGTAAAATTATTTCGAGTGCCATCTTGTCTGTATTTACTCTACCATTTTTGTAAGTCAAATCTTTTTAAATATTTATTGAAATGTTATCACATTTAATAATTATTTCAACTGAAATTATACACGTTTTCTTGACATACAACAAAAAAGATATTTTAACAATTGTAGAATTCACGGCCATGATGTAGAATTAGGAATGTAGTTCACGGGATTCTGTCCGGGCAAATCTCATGAGCTATATTCCTAAAACATCATTACTTTTTGAACGAATAATGTGATTGATCTAAAAGCAACTCGTAATGTTCAAGTTCGCTTTTATATCATTCTTCATTAACCAAATATGAGATCGATAATGATTGCACAAAGAATATTGAAGGCGTATTCAACTGCAATGTGCCTTGGACCTTGTGCCTTCCGCGCAATGCGCTGCTATCTATTGGCGACCGTTCGAACTGCTTTCTAAAGCGCTTATCTTCGATTCACTTCAAACCTACATGTGCTCTTTAAAATAGAGTTGACATGGCATTAAATATTACTTTCGAATAATTATTTTTTTGGATCCCAAAACCGACCTCGAAAAATTAAGTAGGGCGTGTTACGTGGTTGTTGATTACAAAAAATGTGTCAATGCGCACAAGAAAATACTATAAGAGACGCAAACAAAGAATATTACATTCACTTAAATGCGAAGATCATATTTTTAATTTCACAGTACAATTTAAATAATGAATATACGTTCCTACAGAAAATTGGAAACTATGTACGAGTACTGGGTTATGTTAAATTGAAGTGTCTGTGCGCGATTTCAATAACTGTTTTCTTTGTAAGTCCTTATGGCTACATATACGAGATAAGAACACATTCAATTGTTTTTACAATTTTATGTTTGTCTGGAATAATCGCGGGAACTTCATTTTTCAGATTAATGCGTTTGTAATATAATGAGGAATGCTTTTATTTTATTCAAATCAACAGGTTTTATTACAAACTTATGGAATTTTGTACAATTGGTCGGAAGAATAAAGTTAGTCTGCGCGCAATTTTGTAAAAACTACCAAATCTCGCTTTCCCATCACTTAATGAATTAAACTCTTTAGCTAATCGCGAATATCTCGAAAACTGTGAGTTAATATATCAGCCAGAAAAATGAATTAGTACCTTCTAAAATCTTGAAATTTTACCTACTATATGCATTTTGGTTTATTGCGATAGCGTAATTAGGCAATGAACAATTGATGGTCGTAATCGAAAATTAGATCGGATGGAGAAGAGGTGGGCGGATAATAAGGAGAAGCGGAACGTATCAAAGTTGAGGGTGGAGAGGTTAGGATAAATCGAGGCAGAACACTCCGCCATGGCGTGCCAGAGTAAATAAAATTTATTCCATTTCACAATACGGGTATCATACATTCATTTTCCTATCTAAGAAAATATTGTGATAAATAGAGACCACGGCAACGTCGGTTTACTTTCGTTAGTGTTGCATGAAATGAAAAACTGAGTTAATAATTTTAAACTTCCTGAAAATAAATTTAAAAAAAAAGAGAAGTCTAACAAGCAATATATTTGCGTCTAAACAATTTAAAAAATATACACCCTGAATGTTCTATCTCATATTTCAAAACATCCATTGAAAACGAAATTGCGGATCTCTCTTCATCTTGGTTTTCAATTACCTGTCGCGAACATGTTATGTTTTCATTAGAAAAAGCATATTATAACGTAATTTTCTCTTTCTTATGTTAAATATTCCAAGGTTTTCCATTACACAGTTCAAAAGAAATTTTTTTAAGGAAGCTATCATTTTAATAACATGACGGCAAGCGAGATGGGTAAAAGTAATAATCTGATGGGAAGTCAAGACGTGACATAGAGAAGATTGATTGCCTCTGACCTCCGAGCAGTTGCAATACTCTGCTATTCGCATTGACGTGTCGATTCTTATCGTTTGATTACGATAGTGCTAGTTTAGATTGAAAATGACAGTAATTGCAACATAAACTTTGGAACGTAAAAATTAATAAATAAGTGGTGTATGCTTATAAATTAAGTTAATCGTTGACGAGAAAATGAACCTTTCTAAATATTTAAAATATACCGTTTATAATAATAATTGAAGTCATGATAAAAAAAATTACAAATCCTGCAGTATTTTTTGTTTTATTTCAACATTTACGAAATTTCCTGCCTCTCAGTATCTCCCCAGCGTGGCCAGTTGGAGAAGCTCTAAACTCCCGACCCGTCTCCCGAAAGTGGCTTGTGAAGTCCATGTACGGGAAAGTGTATGGGAATGGGGGCGCGATAAGACGAGGAAGAGGAAGAAAAGGTAGCGCGTGGTCCTTGGCCCGTTTCGTAAGGTAATACTCCATCATTCGCCTGGTATTGATCGGAGAAACCATGGAAAACTATTGATCAAGTCAACTGGCCGCTAGAATTCTCCTTCAGACAGCGGCTTGAAATCGACCTCGCTACAAGCATATAGCTAGTGTCAGAAAACCCGCCAACGTCGGGACTTGAACCCTAGAACTCCCGGTCAGAGTAACTGCAGAGCTAGCGGCAATAAGCTAAACTCAGTAGGCCCTACGGAGTGGATTTTCGTTCATTCCAATAGGGCAAGTAGGTTCTGATGGTGGAAAAGCAGATTTAATAATAGACTCATTCACTCTGCCTCATCTCTCTCTCTCTCTCTCTCTCTCTCTCTGCATACACACACACACATCACTCATTCACTTATTATCTCGTAAAACACACACATTTCTCTCACTGGTTAATTCTGATAGAGAAATAATCTTTGAACAATTGATGGTCGAATAGCAGATGTATTAATTGACTTCTCTCTCTTTCTCTCTCTTTCTCTCTTTCTCTCTCTTTCTCTCTCCTGCTCTCTTTCTCTCGCTCTGACTCTCTTTCTCTCTCTCGCTCCGACTATCTTGCTCTCTCCTGCTCTCTTTGTCTCGCTCTGACTCTCTTTCTCTCTCTCGCTCTCTTTCTCTCGCTCCGACTATCTTGCTCTCTTTATCTTCTCTCGCTCTCTTACTTTCTCTCACTGCTTTTTTCTCTTTCCCTCCCTTTCTTTCTTTCTCTCTTCCTTTCTCCCTCTTTCTCTCCCTTTCTCTGTCTGTCTCTATCTCTCTCTGGGTCTCCATCGAGCGCGTGTGTGCGTGGGCGCGCGGGCGCGAGCGTAGATACCTGCAGGGCGGCGCCGGCGTCGGTGTCCGGGGGCAGCATGCGGTGCAGTACTCGAGTCGCCAGCGCCCCCAGCCAGGGCGGAGCGCCGCTCGCCGCGCAGGTTAGCCCACCACCGACGCCGTGGGCTAGGGCAGCGCCCGCGCGCTCCATTCGAGCGCCGTCGTCGAGCAGCACGCGCCTTGAACAGCGCCAGCGCGCGCGCGTCGCGCGCAGCCCCGTCGCCAGCAGCCCCAGTGCGCCGCGTAGTACCCTACAGCCTGAACGCACGCCGGCGCATGCAAACAAATGCAAACGTAAAATAAGCATAACGCATTAACATAAGTACAGACTTAAAGTATTCACAATGTCAAACATAAATTAAGCAAATAGGAGTTTAGCGCGTAAGTAGTATCAATGCAATTACAATCATAAGCATAACGCGAAACGTAAACATTAAACATAATACAGTCTAAGATTACCAATGTCTGACATAACTAAAACAAAATAAGTTCTATTGCTCTGAGACCACTCTGTTTACTACTGTTGGAAGTGGACAATCGATCTTGAATATCGCTGTGTCCATAAGTTCCGTATGACGTTATTCTTTGTAACTTTACTTCAATTTCGATTCTCGATTTTGAGTTAACGTACTGTGATTGGTTCATTTCTCATGTCTTATATAAGCATAAGCACAGAAGCTTGAAGCTGACAAGCTTTTAAGTTAACGTCTTACGTGTTTTGCTTATGCGAAAGCATTGTGAACAAGTCCGCTTATGGATGTAGCTCTAACTTTTATGTTAACGCAATGCTTATGTTTATGTTTGCATTGTGAATGGGCCATAACTGACCTCTTGTTTCATTATTTAAGTATTTCATTATCATAACTGTCTACTTGTTTCGTTATAGAATTAAACTTCCTCTTCCCCTGTTCCTCTCGTGCCTCGAAGTCACTTGAATACTGGCTCCAGAACATCGAGTGTCAGGATTACACTCGTGACAAATGGGTGGGAAATTGAAATGGTAATTTATGAGTGAATCTTTTATACGTGTCAGAAACGTTTTTAAAGAACAAAAAATTGCAAATATTTTGGCATTTACACAATATACTCGGCGGGTCACCACAATCCAAAACTTGGTTGTTTCTGTTGGACTTAAAACTTATTTCGAAGAACAAAAAGTTTGTTTTAAATACGTTAATTATATAGAAATTATATTATGCTAGGTATACATTTATTAATAAGATCAATTGAATTTTTCATTAGACCTGACTACGGGGGCGCAAAGCTCCTGAAACGTCGTGTTTTACAACGGAAAAACTTGAGATGTAAAATTTAAATTGTATTTATGAAATAAAATACTTAATAAGTCTCTGCTGCCTAATTTTTTTTAAAGAGATTGGTTCTTAAGAGATGTACAAATAAGATTATATCCCAGAAGCACCAATTTCAAATTATCTACACATGCGCGGACATTTAAAATTATTTAAAATAACTATTTATTATTAAAATTATCGGTTTAATTGAGTCACGATCTTAAAAATTAGTACATTGGTGATATTCATGAATTTGTTTTCAGTTTAAATATTTCTGACATTATCTACAAACCTATATGAGCAAGTATTATTAAATTACAAAGAGCCCTAATCAAAAATTTAATAACTAAAACTATTTTCAACATGGGGGAGCTATACTCCGATTTAAAGTTCTATGTTCGTACCAGTCGCTAGTCAAACACTCGACCAATTTCTACTTGTACGGATTAAGAATAGCTGCCTGTAAACGTGAACGAAACCTTGTAATAATTATTTGTAAATAGTTTAAAGAGAAGTACTGAATAATTGCTCTAGAAAACAATGTTTACAAATAAATTTAGTCTCTTGCGCGGTGTTTCATTTTCATTTGTCCAGAATACCTAATGATGGTTAGGTTAACTTCGGCATTTAAATCCCAGAGAAAGTGTTTAGTATCAGAACCACAAGCCTTAAAATAGCAATTTGATCTGAACGCTATACTAATTACGTCCTCCTGTGGCATATTTCCTTCTGTCCTAGACGGTTCAATTTTAAAAAACGTTGATTGCACGTTCGCTATACATTTTGAAATCTTCATCAAATGTAAAGCGAACATTTTCAAGCCTTTCTAAACTGCATCTGCGTATTTACATCTGTACGGTTACGTTAAAATAGAGCTCTCATTTTACTAATGAAATGGTATTTTCAAGTTAAATCACTAAGGTAAAATCGCACAAGAGATATCACAAAATTGAATGCTGAAAAAAACATTATGGCATTCAGAATAAGCTAAGAGCGCATTACTGAAATTGGTAAAAAAAAATCGCGCATTCCAGGAGGCATTATCCGTAAAAATTAATATATCTCGTAAATGAGTATAAAGAATGGAAAGTCGCTTGGACATCTTGGAAACTGATTTTGGCGCTGTATTTCCAGCGCGTCCCGTTCCTCACGCCTTGATCAGCCGCATTACTCGCCGAGCGCTGTCGTAATCGGTTCTCTCAGACAGCTCCGCTCCGTTTCGCGGAATTCAGTCCTTTCCTCGCTACTCAGTCCCCCTCTGGCGTCCTCTGTGTTAATACGCGGAACGGTATGGCTGGCTTGTTTCGTGCCTGAAAGGACATGAATATAAAACGGTTGAAAGTGATTTCATTTCCATTAAAATATTAATTTTGTTGACTGCCCAATTGAAGGAATAAAGAGTCATGACATTACATGAAATGAGTGATTAGAAACTTGACGCAACAAGAAACTTTCAGAGCAGAACTCTGTAATTATTTTTTTATCAATTTCGCCCTTCATACAGTGATTTATAAAATATTACATTAAAAAAATATTAAATGTGAAACAAAAATACTGAGATAATACATTAATAATAGTTAATTGAAAGTACTTTAATTTATTATTATTATTATTATTATTATTATTGAAGTAATTTTTTATAATAGAATCTGTTTCAAAACATTCAATTAAGTATAGTTTCCATTTTTTCTCGGAAATGTACATAAAATTGATTAGAATCGTAGGGCCTGGTGAATGAACTTGAGAGAAGCAGAGGACGTGATGGTGGTCATACCACGCAAGAGGCCAAATCTTTTTGAAATTTCAAACACAGTCACACGCTCCGCACGCGCGTTTCCACCGACCTACCAGCACGTGCCCCTTTTAGTTCCCTCAGGCTATAGAATCGCACCTCTTTTTCGCAGACAGTCTTAATTAACACATCCCTCTCGTAGCGTTAACAGTTTCCAAGAGGAAAAGGAAGAACCCTCTCAGTCCCCTTTTCCTTCCTTCTGATCTGGTGACGACTCTCAGTGTAGACGAAACACGCTTTGTTCGTCTCTGAAAGTTTATTTCATGCTCCTACCTATCTTACGCATCAATCCCACGTTCCATCGGATCTAGACCGAATTCAATCGCTGTGTGGAGGAGAATTCTAGCGGCCGGCTGCTCTGATCAGTAGTTTTCTGTGGTTTCTCCGATCAATATCAGGCGAATGCCAGAGCAGTACCCTAAACAAACGGGCTACGGACCGCGCGCAGTCTCACCTTCGTCTTCCTTCTCCTATCCTCTCCCCTTACACACACCCACAGTTACATGCACTACACTGCCACATTTGCCGGGAGACTCCTGAGGAGCTAATAGCTTGTCCCGGCTGGAGCGGTGCCCCACTGGTGGGAGATGTCTGGTTGGGATAGCGGACGTTAGGTAGGCGCCGGATCTCGCCATACAGCGGGGGAAAGAACACCGAAACGTCCCGAGCAAAAACATGCATTACACTTACGGGATTAATGATCCTGGTAGTTGTCGTGCCCGGAATCACTAGAACAATGAATGAATCAATCACACATCTCCCGCTGTTTCCGTCCCTCTTCTATCCATTCGCCAGTTTGAGTCGATTGTGACCTTTATTATGACTTGAACAACTCGCCTATGGTCGTACGTGGAATGAATATGTAGTTGTTCGTGATAGTATGATACAAATGATGTTGAGAAAATGGTGGAATGAGAGACAGTGGAAACGGGAAGACATTGAGCAAACCAACCGGGAACCCTCTTTGTTTACTTCAAACACAACATGAAATGAGAGGCATTCGAACCCGCAACCCAGAGGTAGAAAACAAGTGCGCTGGCCCATGACCTAGGGATCGTCTCAGTGTGCCTACAGGCAAGACACCATGCAATGTGAAGTGGCCAGGCTATACCAAAGCTCTAAAGAAAGAATCATATTAAATATTACAAGTTTTGGAACATATGTATTATTGGAAATATTGATTGCCAATTAATATGAGGAATATTTCAAATAAGGAAGTTGAACATAATAATTGAATAAAAGTTCGTTCAATTTGCTCTTGTTAATGTTTTATCTCATTATGTTTATTTCATGCCACGGATTGTTAGGCAGGTCATCATGTCAGATGTTGAAAGGGAAATGAAATCGCTTTGACAGCGATAGAAAGTGACTTGCCAAACACATGTGAATAATGATTTGCCTGGGCTAACATGGGCAAATGTTACAATTTTAACTTTGTAAAGAAATTTTCCATCACGTATGCACTGGCAAAAGATTACCACTTCGGAATCTAGATGTTTATAACTCTTATTACGAGACACCTAGTGCTATTTGATTGTATTTATATTATTATATTATTATTATTATTATTATTATTATTATTATTATTATTATTATTATTATTATCATTATCATTATTATTCGAGAATGGGCCACTACTGACCACGCAACATATTTCTCTCTCCGAGACCCAGTATATTCTATCCTGGAGACATCTACGTGTGGAATTATGGGAATCAGCCGTTCACCTGTAACCTTTGTTTAAAACAGGGTTGTTAGGCCTGAATATCAATTAGGTGGTAGGATGATATTATTATTATTATTATTATTATTATAGGGTGATGACGATGGGTGAAATTACTAGGAAGATGGTAGAAGGTGTTAGGTGCGGTAGTGGGAGGTGAGAAGTATTTTGTGGGCGTTTGGAACCATCACAACATTCGCCTTGTGACCGAGGGAAACCACGAAAATCCAGAATGGCCGGTCCGGGAATCGAAAGCGGACCACCCAATTGCAAATCCAGCGCTGTATGCACTTAGCCACTCACTCGTAATTTATTTAAACTCTTTCTTGTTTTGTTTTTTCAAT